ACGTGGTATTTAGCTTTCTTTTCGAAGCCGCAATAGACGGCTACCGCCTTGGGAAGCGGTGTGTAGTAATCCGGCGTGCCTTATAGGCCATTCTCGTACCTCACCCAGAGATGCGAGTATGTAGCGCCCGCCTAATCGTCGACTCGACGAGTGCGTTCGAATGAAAAAATGACAACCCCTCTGACGATACGAGGTTTCCTCATCGCCTGTACAGTTTCGCTTGTGTTGATGACAAACAACAGGTGTCATCAATTCCAGTATGAGTTGCTTGCACACAATAGACCCAACATGTTTTTAAACACTGCAGATCCGCTGCTGCTGTCGGGCCTCTAGGGGCACAGTGGTAGTCAGCGGCTGTTTGCAGCTGATCGCTTAGGCGACTGCAATGATCTCTGGCGAACCCACACAGTAGGGGTGACTAGTTCACGCTCGCTCGCGTGACAACTGACTCAGTCGATGCGTTTGCATGAAAAATGACAACCTCTCTCGTGGTGATGTCGCTACAGGACAAAAATCCGGTTGGCCCACGGTTGTGTCTGATACTCCCAAAGGAGTTTGAGGGGCCTGGGAACATCCCTTTTGATGTTTTCGTTCTGATGAATGTGGAGTGATCGCCAGCTCGTCTGGCACGCCCCTCCGGTGATCGGAGCATCCGTGCGGAATGATGACGATCAGAGACGTTCGAGTTTTGATCTGTGGCCGACGTTCGCGTTGCGGTCGCACAAAAAGTCTTGCTCGTGCGACTGCGGGGCTGTTCAGCGAGTTCTCGAGCGTTGGAAATCTTGGAAACTGGTATGCAAATAAATAAGTGTTTGTTTGTTTGCGTGTGTTCCTCGCTAGGAGTTGCGAGACCGCTTGGCTTCTACCATAGCCAGGCCTTGGAGTGTTCATCACCAGAACCTCACGTCGACATGTTTATGCCTCCAGGTATGCCGGCGGTGCAGGAAAGGATGCAGGTCTCGGTGCGTGTTGTGGCAGTAGCTTGTGCATCGTGACGGTGACCCACGGCTGACGTACGAAAAAATTTCACATCAAGAATAGAAGAAGTCAGCTTCAATGAATAATTTCGGATTGTTTTCATGCTTCTGATTATACTTGCTTCTGCAGGTGTTCCCTCAAAGACTCCATCTCTCACGCTGTCTGGCTGGCCAATGGCTGGCTGTCCCTTAGCACATGAGCCAGAGTCCCAGCAGTGTCCCATCTCCGAATGGCGGGGCACTTGAGACACTCTCAGGTTCACAGCTTTCGTGGCTGAGAAGTCTCCGCATGGAGCCCTGGGACGATGGAGCAGTCTGGATTATCAAGTTTCTGCCTCAGTGTTGTTGCTGACACGGCCGAAGCCGTAGGATGTCTCAACATGGTGACCTGCCAGGCCCATACCATGCAACCCGAAGTTCTCATGCACGTCTGCCTGTTGGTCGGTGAGCTAGATGTTGACGCCACAGACGCCCCATTTGCGCCTGCAGCCTACAGCAACCTGTTCCAGCAGATGTGTGCAGGCACAAATTTTTGCATACGAAGTCGGTGCAAGGCGGATATCGGTGTCACCTGGCCTTCTGGCAAAGCTGCAGACTGTGGAGCATCCTCGGCCCGCTGATTCGCCTCTGGAGCCAGCCTCCATGCCTGACGAGCACGCGGCAACGCCTCCAACCCCCGATCAGCGCACCGACTCTCTCGAAGAGACGCGAGAGACGCAAGTTGCACAAGCTGGTGAGTGGACAGCGACGTGCCCGGATGAGCGGGTGCGTGCGGTTCAAACTTCATCGCCAGCTGCAAACTTGCTGCGAGGTTGGCGCCTTTGTGCCAGGCAGCGCCTCGCAACGAACGGTCCGCCGCGGCACTTCCAATGCGGCAGCGTCCGGCGGCTGATTGCAAGTGGCAGGTATTATCCTTCGGAGGCAGCTCCAAGCCGAAGGCTTCCACAGTTACGACAGGCGGTATGCAGCTATCAGATCGCATAGAAATTGCAAAGCACTTGCCCTGAAGTGCAGGAGGCATGCTGAATGCCGATAGTGGTGATAGCGTTCCTCAAGCTTTAGGCTGCGGCGTGCTGGGTCTGTGTATCAGCTATTAGTGCCCGGGATTTGCGTCTCAGGTTTCGAGGCCGCCACGAGAAGCAGAGGGAGCGGAGTGCGTGTCGCACAGGAAGCCAGCAAGGCTCACGGGACTGTCGTCGTGACGTGTTGATCGTGTTGCGGTGTGGCATTGCCGACAAGGAAGGCCGCGATGCTCCTAAACTCGTGCGAAGGCAAGACCCGATCGGCAGTTGCACATCACATGCACCGGTGAAGCTTTGGCCAGGTCTATCGACTGGAGTGATGCCTCTTTTCTCCAACGGCTGGCCTGCCGCCTGGCAGTTGCACACACTTTTTGCAAAGCCTTGAAACCTGAGCCGAGTCAAGCGGTTGGGCAAGTTCCACACAACCTGTCTTGGGATGTCTTGGGCATGACGTAGCGTAATGAAAAGCTCTTGGCCAGCCTCAAGGGTGGCACACAATGACTAAGCGAGCCTTTTGCGCGTCGTGCTTAATCGGAGTCGGCAAAAAGTCGAAAAACGCGAAAACGCGAAAAACACGACACCTGATACTATACTATAACCACTATTATTACTATTGTTACTATTGTTTGGCGTTTTTTCGTGGTTGTCGCAGATCACGAAACACAACAAACGCAAAAAAAAGCACGAAACCTAATACTATACTAATACCATTAGTAGTTTGTTTAAGCGATTTCACACTTTTCTGTGTGATTGTCATCGGTTTCCGCGTTTTTCACGGTTTTCGTGTTTCTCGCCTTTTGCGCGCTTTTCACGTTTTCGCGTGTTTTGACGGCTTTCGTGCCTTTCGCGTTTTTCGTATTTTGACAGTTATATATATTTTTCGCGAACACATATTGCTGCTACAATTGACTGTTCTGTGTTGGATACTACTGCTGGTTTTAAACGTTTTGCTGCTGCTTACCACCACCACCACCACGACGACT